TTCGATTCCCCCGTCTTTTCTCGCGCCTAACCGTCTGCCTCTATTTCGCCCAAAATCACAGAATAGATCTAAATCTCGCACAAAATCACAGAAAATCGTCCCAAGCCCTTTTCCCACTCCGTCTGTCGCTGTTCGTACCAGGCCCCCGTCGTCGTTCGTCCCAAGCCCTATTCGCACACAACCTGTTCCCCGCAGCCGTCGCCGTCCGCTGCTCTGAGCCCTCGACTTCCGGTGCCCGCGTTCGTACTTAGCCCTTGCCGTGAAGCTGCACTGAGCCCTCGACCTCGCAGCCCTCGTCGTCCGTTGCACTTAGCCCTCGTCGTCTGGTGCTCGCCGTTCGTACCGGGCCCTGTTCGCACGTCGCTCGTCACCCTTATCCCTCGCCGTTCGATTCTCCAATATCTGTGAGATTCTCACCCTCTTTTGGTAGTTCTTATTCTGTTTTGCTGATGTTTTATATGAAGAAGCCCTCTTTTATTCTCATTTGATGTTTTATATGTTTTGCTGTTTTATATGTTTTTGCTGTTTTATATTGTTTTATATCTTTTGGTAGTTCTTATTATCTTTTTGCTGTTGTTTTATATGTTCGTACCAGTGTTTTATTCTCTTTTGCTGTTTTATATGTTTTGTTGTTGGGGTTTAAGATGAATATGTTTCGCATTTTGCTTTTTAGATATATGTTTCGCATAAGGATTCATGTTGGCGACTTGAATTATGTGGTTATTCTTGAAGAAGAGCATGATATGCTATAGGGGAGATAATCATTTCAAGTCAGCGGAGTATATATTCACATAGATAAGAGTTAACCTTTGTCTAATTTTTTATTCTTTGTTCCTCAAACTCGGTCATTAGGCTTTAAATTGTCCAGTGAAATGAGAATAATAGAGGTGACTTGGTACGTAAGAGAATTGCATTTTGTAATTGAGAAGTACAGAAAAATCTAGACACAGAAAAATAATCCACAGCAATTTTTTTTTTTTCATTTGGCATGAATGATAGAAGTCTAACACACCAGAATTAGCATTAGCAGGGAATGGATGGTAAAAAATATGCTTATATATTTTACAGAGTTGACACATTATGCTGAGTGTTTTCTTTTTTTCTTTTTCATTCTTGAGTGTTATTTTTTTCATTCGTTTTCTTTGTCAAAACTTTTGGAGTGGAATATCTACAGCCCAACATATTTATGTTTGATTCTACTAGTCACTACACCTAGTTTAACTATACATTTCAGAAAATGAAAACATTACTCTCTTTACAGTGATGATGAAGACATTATGTGATAATTAAACTTAACTTGAGTTTTTGAGTTTTTGATTTTTACTATATATTATAGTCTTATGTTTTTTTTCTTGTGACATTGTTTTTCAAGAATAGAATTGTTACTATATTGTCTTTGTTAGAATTGTTTATTTAACATGAACATTTTAGCAAGTTATGGATCGTAAGTGGATAAATGCAACGCGCACAAGTATTGAATATGAGAATGGAGTGGAAGACTTTTTGGAGTTTGCTAAGCGACGTGATTCCGAAAGTATAAATGGAAAATTTTATTGTCCATGTGTGAATTGCCTGAACAATCGACGACTATGTGTTGAAGAAATAAGAGAGCATGTCATTTGCGATGGTTTCAACAAAAGTTATACACGGTGGATTTGGCACGGCGAATTTGATATGCCGATTGCATCCCGAACTGAAGAAATTGATGCAGAGGATGCACATATGTATGATCGAGTAGAAGACATGATTAATGATGTCGGAGCAGAGTCATTTGAACAAGCACATGTAAATAAGGTTTGTGAGTCCTTCTCTGTTGATGCAGAAAAACCTCTCTACGGTGGTTGTAAGAACTTCTCCCGTTTGACTGCGATTTTAAAACTAATAAACTTGAAGGCAGCACATGGTGGAGTGATAAGAGTTTTACAGAGTTGTTGTGCTTGCTTAATGAAATGCTCCCCGAGGATAATGAGTTACCGAAATCCAATTATGATGCAAAGAAGGTTTTGTGCCCGTTAGGCTTGGGTTATAGGAAGATTCATGCTTGTCCTAATGATTGCATTTTGTACAGAAATGAGTACACAAGTCTTCAGGAGTGTCAGGAATGTGGAGTTTCACGATTCAAAAAGGGAGCTGATGCAGATTCAAGTACACGTGTTCAACATAAGAGACCACCTGCAAAGGTGCTCTGGTATCTTCCTATAGTACCAAGATTGAAACGTCTTTTTGCTAGTGAAACAAAGGCAAAAAACTTGAGATTGCATGCAGATGAGAGAAAAAAAAGATGGAATGCTCCGTCACCCGGCAGATTCGCCTCAATGGAAAAAGATTGACCAACTTTTTCCTTGCTTCGGAAATGAGCCCAGAAACTTAAGACTCGAACTTTGTACTGATGGGATGAATCCATATGGCAATCTCAGCAGCAAGCATAGTGCATGGCCAGTTCTATTGACCATTTATAATCTTTCTCCCTTGTTGTGCATGAAACGCAAGTACATTATGTTGTCTATGATGATTTCGGGGCCAAAACAACCTAGAAATGACATAGATGTTTACTTGCAACCGTTGATCGAAGACTTGAAGATGTTATGGGATGAAGGTGTTGATGTATTCGACGCATATAAAAAAGAAGCCTTTAAAATGCGTGCGATGATCTTTTGTACAATAAATGATTTCCCAGCTTACGGAAACTTGTCTGGCTATAGCGTTAAGGGGCATAAAGCATGCCCTATATGTGAAAAAAACACGTGCTACCATCAACTTGAACATGGAAGAAAGACTGTCTACCTTGGAAGTCGAAAATTTCTAAAACCTGACCATCCGTATCGTAGATTGAAAAAAGCTTTCAACGATGAGCAGGAGTATGTGAAGGCTCCAGATGTCTTAACTGCTAAAGATGCTTTCGACCGAGTGAAAAATATGAATGTGAAATTTGGTAAGGCACAACAGGCAACTCAAAAAAGCTTATGGAAAAAACGATCTATCTTTTTTGAGCTTCCATACTGGCACGAGCTTCAAGTCCGACATTGCATTGATGTGATGCATTTGAAAAAAATGTGTGTGATAGTCTTATTGGCACTCTTCTCAACATACAAGGGAAGACTAAGGATACTCTAAATGCACGGAAGGATATGGTTGCTATGGGCATAAGAGAGGAGTTGGCACCAATACCTCAAGGTAGGAGGACTTATTTGCCGGCGGCCTGTCACACCCTATCCAAAAATGAGAAAAGAAGTTTTTGTGAGTGCTTACATGGAATAAAAGTTCCCCATGGGTATTCTTCTAATATTAAGCGACTCGTATCCATAAAAGAGTTGAAGCTGGTGGGGTTAAAGTCCCATGACCATCATGTATTGTTCCAACAATTATTACCTGTGGCCATTCGAGGTATATTACTAAAGAAAGTGAGATGCACGATCAGTAAGTTGTGTTTCTTCTTCACTGCCATCTGTTCTAAGACCATTGACCCTCTACTATTGGATGATTTAGAGAATGATGTTGTAGTTATCTTGTGTCAACTCGAGATGTATTTTCCACCTGCATTCTTTGACATCATGGTACATCTAATCATTCACCTAGTGAGGGAGATTCGGTTATGTGGCCCTGTGCATTTGCGATGGATGTATCCATTTGAGCGGTATATGAAAATTCTAAAGGGTTATGTGAAGAACCCTCATCGACCGGAGGCGTCTATTGTTGAAAGATATGTTGCAGAAGAAGCGGTTGAGTTTTGTACTGAGTATCTATCACGGGTTAAATCTGTTGGTCTTCCAAAGTCTCGCCAAGTGGGTAGATGTCCTGGAAAAGGGACACTTGGGGGACGAATAAAGAGTGTTGATCGTGAAGAGTTGTTACAGGCACATCTGTATATTCTAACCAATACTCCTGAAGTTGAACCTTATTTGGATATGCATAGGAGATTCATAAAGGAGAAAAATCCTCGAAAAGCAGAACGATGGTTAGTGAACGAGCATAACAAGACCTTCATATCGTGGTTTAAAAATGAAGTTGCAAATTGCCCGTCCGCTTCAAATACAGTCTCCTGGTTAGCCGCTGGACCTAATTTTGATGTCATATCTTGGCGTGGTTACGACATAAATGGGTATTCGTTTTACACGAAAGAACGAGATGAAAAGAGCACTATGCAAAATAGTGGGGTTTCAGTTGAAGCGGAATCAATGCATTTCTCAAGTGCAAAAGACAAAAACCCATTATGTGCCTCTACCTCTTATTTTGGGATTATTGAAGAGATATGGGAGCTTAACTACATTAAGTTTACTGTGCCTGTTTTCAAATGTAAATGGGTGGATAGTAATAATGGTGTGAAAGTTGATGAGTTAGGATTTACTTTAGTCGATTTTCGTAAAGTTGGATACAAGAATGAACCATTTATCATGGCAAGAAAAGAAAAGCAAGTGTTTTATGTCATTGACCCGAGCAACGAAAATTGTTCAGTTGTCCTCCATGGGAAACGACAAGTATCAGATGATGATAAGAATGACTTGACTTTTGATGTTTCTGAACTTCCTTCCACCTCATCAAGGATACCTGTTAAAATGAACTTGATGATGTATGTGCTGCAAGAAACGATCATCATGAAGGCATATGGGAAAACACACCAATAAATTAACTTTGTCAGTAAGTATAAAATAATAATTTGGTGTTTATAATTGTATGATGTTTGTAAAATAAATTAACTTGATGGTGTATGTGATGCAAGTTAATTGTTGTAATAGTTGTGTTGTAATAATTGTTTGATATTTGTGTGACAACATAAGTTGACGTTTTGCTAGTATTTGCATTCCCCATGTACGAGATTCAAGTCATTTGGAATAAAAGAACACAACGATCTGTGACTTGAATTAAATTTTTGTTTTATTGTGTTACTACTCATTGCTTTACAGTTTACAACAACATTTTTGTTATATTTTATATTTCAAGTGTCAATTCTTTTCCCTACAATGTTGTACATTTATTTATATAATTCACTTTGTTGCGTGCAGGAATGGAGGATTCCAATAGTGATGATGCTCACTCCGACTCTAGGAACGAGTCGATTCATTCTCAGGAAGATTGTCAAAAGGGCGGGCGCGGAGCAACACGATTGCCACATTTAATGCTTCAAAGTGGGAATAACAAGTTGAAAATATCATTTGATTGTAATATGCTGCCAGATGGACCGACCACAGATATCACCACCTATTTCATTAGTTGTGTTGGCATGTTAGGTCGGAGCAAAGCCAGCATTTTAGCTGAAAATTGGAAAAATGGGGTGCCCGACAAGATTAAAGAGCAAATCTGGCAAACTCTACAGGTATGATATCTATAAATATTATTTGTTTTCATTCCTCTCCATATCATATAGTATAAACTGATATATTTTTTCCATTAACAAATTATATAATAATATTAATTATGTGTTTGTAGGAGATATTTGAGTTGCCGAATGATAAAAAATTGAAAGAATACTGGTTAAGACGTGCTGGGGAATATTGGAGGATTTTCAAGACTAGCCTCAATCGCTACATATTCGGAAAAAAAAAAGGGTCAGCTTCCATATATCAAGACTTGCCCGTATCTTGATAAAGATACATGGGAAGCTTTTGTTGCATCTCGTCAAACTCCTGAATTCTTAGTAAGTTTTACTTTTGTGTAATATTAATTTTGTCATTCATGACTACATGTGATTAATCTTGTCAAACACGTATATGTTTGTTTTTTTATTTTTCTATCCAATATAGTAGGAAACAAATAGTTGTTTAAAACTGTTACAGGAAAAAGAATATTAAAGACGAATAAGTACTTTAAGCAAGCGAAATAAATAGGCTAAAAATTAGCTTCTAAGAGAACAAGACGAGGAAAGAATTTGTAAGTCCAACTGAACACAACCAGTTTCTAGTCATTTGCCAAGTTGTAAAAAGTTTGCTCTACATATGAAAATTTCCATGAAATAAATATTTTCTACCAAAAACATGGATGTATTTCTTTGTTGTGATGATATAGCATATTAATTATGCAGTGGCAAAAAATATGCTGAGTTGTAAAAGTCCACATGTACTGCCACGATCACCAAGGCAATAAAACAATGAAAGGGAAACAATGAATAAAACATATGCATACATACAGGGCTAGCACACACTTTACCAGAAAAAACTAGTAAGATTAATGTGCAGACTTTTTGAAGTCCCCAAATGTATATATCAGATAGAGTAAAGCATGTATTTTCCTAGTAAGTTTTACATATCATATATTAGTTGCATCTCGTCAAACTCCTGAATTCTTAGTTTTACTTTTGTGTAATATTAATTTTATCATTCATGACTACATGTGATTAATATATATGCAGGCAAGAAAAAAAAAAGCACAAGAAACACAATCACATAATAAATATCCTCATATTTTGTCTCGAGGTGGTTTACCTCGTTTGAAGAGAATAATGATGGAGGAGAAATACAAGGCCAGGAGAGAGGCCTCATTAGATGACTACCCTAGCAACAAAAGACAACTAACCTAGCAGCTACAGATCACGCACATTTTCCGTGAGGGGAACAGACCCGCCGACTATCTTGCCAGCCTTGGCGCCACCATACCAGACACACATACATTCCAGACTGACACTGCTCCACTCCGCCTTCGCACGCTTGTTCGGATGGACCAGCTTGGATATCCATATTTCCGATTTTAGTAGATTAGGCTCTTGCTTTCATTAGTCTAGAAAATTACTTCGGGCATCTATTAGCCCGAAGATCGACTTTGTATTGTAGTTCTTGGTTCTTTTTAGTTTTTCGGCTTTCTTTTTCTTTTTGGTTCTTTTGCTTTTGATTATGGTTAGTGAGACTCTGTAGACTATTGTATCTTGTTCGTTGATATTTTGGGCCCCGATTTTGGGGTCTTGATCTATGCACAGGTTGGGGATCCAGCCCAATCCCCCGCCCTTCCGGGGCGTTGTTTGTTTAAAAAAAAAAAAAAAAAAAACTAGCAGCAAGAAAGAAATAACCTAGCAACTTAAGACAACTAACCTAGCAGCATCAGACAACTAACCTAGCAGCAAGAAAGAAATAACCTAGAAACAAAAGACAACTAACCTAGCAGCAAGAAAGAAATAACCTAACAATGGACTGCCTCCCCTGCTATTGGATCCTTCCGCCACATTCATTCTTTAGGTGGCTCGACCCAACCTCGCCACAGGCGGACTATGTCTGGTGGCTCTTGCTACCGTTGACATGTCTATCACATCCATTACTTGGAATGACCGTGGCCTGGCAAATAGGGCTACTCTCTCTCACCTCCATTCTCTCATTCGTGACCACAGACTTGATTTTGTTGGCTTTATTGAGCTGATGATTCGCACCCCTTCTTTTGACTATTACTCGCTTCGCCTTGGCTTTTACTCGGGCGTGGGTAATATTTTGCATAAGATCTAGTTCTTTCACTCGCGTGATTACACTTGTCGGGTCCTCCGTGACACCGATCAGGTGCTTCACGTTGAGCTTTCCGCTGCCCACCTCCCGGAGCCCATCTTTCACACCTTGGTTTATGCCAAGTGTACTAGGGTCAGGCATTATGATCTGTGGGACAACCTGCGTGAGATTGCCGAGAGTATGGAGGGATTGCCATGGATGGTTAGTTGTGATTTCAACATCTTTCTGCACCCCGATGAGCGCGTGGGTGGCCGTTCGGACCGGTCACGGGAGATGTGGGATTTTGCGCAGGCGGTGGCGGACTGTGAGTTAATTGACACTGGATGTGATGGTGAGCCCTTCACGTGGGTGAGGGACGGACTCAAAGAGAGGTTAGACCGTGCCTTGGTTTCTGAGGCGTGGGCGAAGGTGTTTGCGGTTACGACCGTCACACACCTTACTCGATTTGGGTCTGACCATTCACCTCTTCTCATCCGGTGCCGATTTTTGAGCACCCCCCGCCGCTCGTCTTTTAGGTTCTAGAACATGTGGGGTCGCCACCACTCCTTCCACGACACTGTCAGGGATTCCTGGCTTCAGCCGACTGGGCTCTTCGGGATGCGCAATCTCGAGGAGAAGCTCGGCAGACTGCGGCGTCGGTTGAGACAGTGGAATTGGGATGTTTTTGGAAACCTTCATCAGCGCCTTCCTGCGGCTCAGAGTGCGCACGCGACGGCTGAGCGGGCCTATGACCTGGACCCCACTCTGGAGAATAGGACTGCCATGCACCGCTGCCACGCCGAGTACCAGCTCCGACTCCTTATGGATGAGGACTTCTGGAAGCAGAAGGCGGCCGTTCGCTGGGTGGCCGAGGGCGAGCGGAATACAAGGTTCTTCCAGGGCTACGTTAGGCAGAAGCGTGCTAAGTCGTACATCCATAGTATCGAGGCTGATGGGTCATCCTTGACCCAGGAGGCTCAGATTCGGGAGTCGGCTGTTGCTCACTTCCAGACCCTCTTCACATCTGACAGAGGGTCCCTTGTGGCCCCGACCGCTTCTCTTTTCCCCACCATCTCTCATTCGGTCGATCTCATTGGCCTCTGTGAGCTCCCGAGTAGGGAGGAGGTTAGGGATGTTGTATTCTGAATTGATCCCAACAGCGTTTCTGGCCCGGATGGTTTCTCCTCCCTCTTTTATCAGGTCTGCTGGGATCTAGTCGAGACTGACGTCGAGGAGGCGATGTTGGATATTTTCTCCGGCCACCGGATGCCGGATTCCTTCACGTCTACCTCTGGTCGTCTTGATCCCCAAAAGACCCAACCCGAGCTCTTGGTCCGATTACAGGCCCATCAGCCTGTGTAACGTGACCAACAAGCTCATTTTGAAGGTCCTTAACGGCCGTCTTTCCCCTCTTCTCCCCTTCCTCGTATCTCCGAACCAGAGTGGATTCGTCAAGGATCGGGTCATTAGTGATAACATACTTTTGGCCCAGGAGATGATCCACGACATCTCCCGTGCGGATTGGAAGCGGGCTCCGAATATCGCGCTGAAGCTAGATATGGCTAAGGCGTATGATAGGGTAGAGTGGCCGTTTCTTATAGAGGCCCTAGCTAGGATGGATTTCCTAACCGTTGGATCAGTTTTGTTGAGGCGTGTGTGGAGCACTGCACGTTCTCGGTCCTGGTCAATGGCAGCCCCATCGATTTCTTTCCCTCATCTAGAGGCCATAGACAGGGTGACCCTCTGTCCCCCTCCCTTTTCGTCCTTGCGGCGGACTACCTCTCTCGCTGTCTTGACGGTTTCATCCGCGACTTTCCCCATATGACGTATAGCACCCGTGGCTATGGTCCTCCCATCTCTCACCTCTCTTACGCGGATGACATCATCATCTTCACCCGGGCGGATGATGATGGACTGGTCGAGCTCATGCGCCTTTTGGAGCACTATGGCTCGGTTACCGGTCAGCTGGTCAGTGTGCAGAAGAGCACTTTCACCCTCTCCTCTTCCAGCGCGGCCAGGTGGACTCAGCGGGTCCACGATATTACTGGCTTTGCGCGTGGCGACCTTCCGATTACCTACCTTGGCGTCCCTTTATATAAGGGCAACCTCACGAGAGCGCTCTTCGCGGGCGTCAGGCAGAGGATGATCGACAGGATCTCTGGTTGGTCGCATGGACATCTTTCTTTTGGTGGTCGGCTTGCGCTGATCAAGAGCACTCTTAGCTCTCTTCCGATTCACTTGCTTATGGTCCTCGACCCCCCTAGGTCTACTCTTGACGAGATAGACCAGATTATGGCTCGTTATTTCTGGAGTTACGAGGACGTTTCTAGGAGGGAGAGACGTACTCACTGGGTGAGTTGGGACTCCATCAGTCGCCCCCTTCCCGAGGGTGGACTTGGCATCCGCCGCCTCAGGGACATTGTTACAGCTGTCTCATACAAGCTGTGGTGGCGCTTCAGGGAAGGAAAGTCGCTTTGGGCTCAGTACCTTCTGTTTATTGTGTTTTTGTGTTTCTTTTTATGTGTTTTTTGCACATAGTTGAGTCGTTTTTAGGATTGTTTTAGCGTTGACCGGTCCATTTTATTGTTTTCCGTGTATTTTTGTGTTTTTCTTTTATTTTGTGTCTTTGGCGTATTTTTCCGTGCTTGTTAGTGTTATTTTCAGGTTTATTTCCGAGGATGATGAGAAGAGTCTAACCGAGTCCCGAGAGACGAGATTTCCAAGTATTCCGAGTCAGTTGCAAGAAGTCCCGAACCATTGAGCTAATTCATTCCGAAGATTTCGAGCCAAAGTTGATGAAAACTCCCAAAGTCAGCCTCACTTGCGACTTCGAGATGCAGCCAGCGCTAGGCCCAGCACACTCAAGAAAGCCATTTCCCCGTGTCCGCGCCGGCGAAATCCGCCGCCAGGTCGAGAGTCCGCGCCCGCGCCTCGCGAAGATAGCCGCGACATCGAGAGTATCGCCTTCCCTCTTGTGCACTTCCGTGTTTTCCCGTGCCCGCGCCCGCGAAAGACCCCGCGAGCTCGAGAGTAGTACCCCATAGATGCCCGTGCCCGCGAATTTACCCGCGATATCGAGAGTAGTGTCTTCCCTCGCGCCAGTCCCGTACATTCCTCGAGACAGACCGCGCCATCCCGCGCCCC